CATGAATTATAGGCCTCTTTAAAAAAAAATTAAAATGGTTTCACTGCTACATTTTAGCATTTTAAATACAACTGTTGTGTAAGAATTTGTAACGATTTAAGCAGCATTATCCTTTCGAACAACTTGCTGTCTACCTAGCCTAGTGTAATGAAAAAAAAATGTAGAACGGCCAAACAATGCAAACATATATAGGCCTATTATTCACACAGTGCATGCTGGGAACAAGGTGAGTGAAACCATTTTTAAGTGTGGGCCTATTTGAACTAAAATAATTAATCCCCCGCTACGCTTGTTGGTTCAACTTCGTTTTTAGAATTTATAGGAATAAAGAAAACAAAATAGCCTACAATAGGCCTAATAAAAAAAAAAAATGAGTAGATTCTTAAAATAGCCTAAATGTTTTTAATTGGAATCATTTAGCTATACTAGGCTTAAAACATTATTTAAATTTTGTTCTCTCATTCTTTAAAAAAAACATCTGTGCTGGTGCTTTAACGATCGCAGTAAATCATTTCTATGTAGCTAACATCTAGCTCATAATATATAAATAACTGGGCTAAAACGTTTAGCATTGCGAGCAATGGAAACATAAGTCATTTTGATTTAATTTATTCTTTTGAATTTAAATTTGATTTAATTTATTCCTCGGCGGCATGACTGAGGGAATGTGCACGCTGAGTCTGAGTCATACCTTTTCATCATTTTCAAATAAATACCGTTGCACTTGTGAAAAGAACATTCAGTCCCCCTCCTTCACCCCCAACAGGCAGCTAGGCTACACACCCTCCGAATATTTTCTCAGATCTACAAACCCCGTGAACACACAAACAGGAACAACCGAAACAGCCTCGCTGTTTGATGTTTACCACAAATTAAAGCGGCAATTTGTGAAAAAAAAGTGCATCTACTCTTCAAAATATCTGTGTAGCATAGGCTACTTCGTTTTTTTTTACTGGTTTGGAGCTATTACGCGGAACATGTCACAAAGGCTGTTTGACTTCAAAAGTCAATTTTTTTTCTCGGCAGTTCTTTCGTTTGCATGTTTTGTTGAGCCCGGTCTCATGAAAATGCGTATAAATAGTACGCCAAATAAAAACGAAAACTCGTCGTATTGATACGCATCAAATGGACTTTGGCGTGCATATGATACGCATGTGTTTGGCGTGCATATAATACGCAGTTTTCGCGTACATATGATACGCATCTACCCCACAACCCTAAACCTACCCATCTCGTAGCATATACACGCCAAAGTCCATTTTTGCGTATCAATACCACGAGTTTTGTTTTATCAACCCTGTCTTAAATTAGAACATTGTGAGTTATATCCTAAATGTTTTTGTATGCAGTTTAGTTCATGTCGTGTCTTCCCTGTTTTACCTATAAAGACAGATGACATTAAAGATGTCAATTCTAATTCAGGAATTCAGAAACTCTTTTTAATTCTCACATTGCACTTGTATTCTGGTAGCAAATCACTTCGTCATCACTACAAGTCTCCACCCATTACTTACATAAGTATTCTTTAACAGTTCACTGGTCAACGATTTCTTCTGTAGCCTACTTTAGACAATATTTCATATTTTCACATCTCTTAATATTATTACATTGATGCACTGGGGTCTGGATCTTAAGCGAAAAGCTATGAACTGATTAACTGAATTGTGGTTTTTAGGATATACATTTAACAGAATTTACATTAGACAGCTGCCTTGTAAAATGCTCTCGATGTTAACTTTTTTCCCCCCACACCGATTCTATAAAAGATGAGTCGTAAGAAATTCAGAAAAGATTGCAGGGTTGTTAACAGGCTTTAGTGGTAGATGAGCATGATGGCACTGTGTACTAGCTATATTTCAGTATGACAGATTTCCACTGGCAACCCAGCGCAGAGTTTTTGGACCCCAGGTGACGTCCAGTGAGCGCGCACATATCCCATCTGTGTCTCTAGGAGCTTGGGTTTCCACAGACAGTATTTTTGGAATGGAGTTCCTCTCGGACCGTGGATAACGCATTTAAACGCTGTCACAACGTGGTGTGTGGTCCACCGCGCGCAACGGTCCTTAATGAAAGCCCCTTGCATTTGTTCATTGTATGCGAATAAAACGAAGCACTTTATTCTTAAATTATGATATATGGGTATGGCAATCGGTTTATG